AAGGGTTGCCTTATTAAATAAATGATTATGTGTAAAAATGTAAAAAGTGCTTGTTAATAATATAATCCTGAATTAAGATAATAATTATTGTATTTGTATGTAGTTTTATATTTATTGTGTTTATTTGATAAAGGTTTGTACTGATTTTAATTAAACGCACTTTTGATGTGTCACCAAGCACAAAGAGACTTAATTTAACCTTAAACTTTTAACCCCTTTTTATGACGTAAATAAAAAATGTATTTAAATAAACATTTAATCTTACTTAACTAAAAAAACATACATAATAACAATTTAATGAAAATAATATTTATAAAAATCTAATTTTGATTTTATTGAATGAAATGTCAAATTGCGTATTTCATTCATTCATTTACTCTATGGTTTCTCAAATATCGTTCACTCCAACTCACTTCCTTATAAAAGTCACGTATACTAGTATGATATAAAGGGACTCCGGTCATCACGGATGATCTGGCCGCTGTTATTTTAACCGCAACATAATCTCCAGGTTTAACTAAACGTTTTCCACCATCCTCTGTTAAAATACTTTCTTGATCAAACACAACTTTGACATAAATTTCATTTCTACCCATTATTTGACCTGTCTTTTTCAAAGTACCCTCAATTAGTACTAAATGGATATTGCCAATCTCTGCTTCGTTTAATGCTTGACATTTTCTTCTGTAAATTTCCAACATTCTATTATGTCTGTCCTTTTTCACTTCGTCCGGTACATCGTCTTTATAACGACGATATGCTGCAGTTTTCTATACCAAAAAAAAATTATTTAATTTGAAATAATTTTATAAAGATATGTTTACGATACCATGAGAAGTAATTTTCAGCCATTGCTATTCATTTTAATAGGTTAAAAATAACAGACATAATGGATTTATTTTTAAACGTGTTGAAAAAGGTCCTTCGAGCAGGACAATCACTACTTTCAAGTGTAAAAATATCTAGGTAGATAAATGTAGTAGCGTCGGTGGCTCAGGGGTCAAGCACTTGACTTGCAAACTGCAGGTCCTGGGTTCGAATCCCGCCATGTATCAATGTGTTTTTCGATTTCCGATTTACATATGTACATTTATCCGACGTTCTTACGGTGAAGGAAAACATCGTGATGCAACCTGCACATATCTGAGAAGAAATTCAAAGATATGTGTGAAGTCAACCAACCCGCACTTGGCCAGCGTGTTGACTATGGCCTAGTCACCCGTAACTTAGGGTAGGCTCCGAGCCCCTCGGTGGGGACGTATTGTGAGCTGATGATGAGATAAATGTATATAATCTAACATATAAACTCACCTCTCGCATACTGTAAGGGAATAGAAACGCTATGTTATAATCGACTATTTCCATCAATGACAATGTTTCTTGAAATTCCTCCTCCGTCTCACCACAGAAGCCACATATCATGTCTGTGGACAGACCCACTGAAACAACAGTATTGTGTTACAATTTAATTCTTCAAATATCCTTTTTTCATATATTTGTAAAATATATAAGAGTTTTTATATAGATAAGACACGATGAGAGGTGACTTATTCATAAACCAGCTGTTCACGTCGAATCCGTCCGCGCGTTAAAAAAAACTTAGTAACCTATGTATTAATTAAGGTTAGATTCTCATCTGTCACATGTTCTTCCAGTTTCGAGTTAACATGTATGCCAAATTTAAGATACCTTCTATCCATGTTTCACCAGAATGTCTGCATGTATCTCGCTGATATGTGGCATAGATGTAGAACATAGCCTGAAAGAACCTATAGGCTACTTACGGTTGTTGTACGTAGACGGAGTCGCGGACATCTAGTTATGAAATACAAAGTATAGTATTAAGAAAACAGTGGGTAAGCCAAAAATGAGAAAGTTACCAGCAGGTATCTTTGCTTTAACTGTCTCCACAAGTTCCAAATATGCCTCGCGCGTGTATCCTCGCCTCATCCGCTCCAGCACCGAGCTGGACCCCGACTGTGCAGGTAAGTGCAGCAGCTTGCAAATGTTAGCTCGCTCCGATATCACTTCTAACACCTAGAACACAAAGATAAATTTATATAACTCATTTTATTTACAGTCATTAGTGTGTTAAATAAATAAAAAATCACAAGTAGAAAAATAAGGGATTTAATATTTAATTCATCTACCTATTTTAATCTGGTAAGTAATAGCTTTCGTAACATTAATTTTATTTTTTATCAAACTCCATTCAAAAATTCTTATGGTGAAGGGAAACATTGTGATGCAACCTGGACACTTCTGAAAAGAAATTTAAAGATACATGTCAACCTGCACTGGGCCAGCATGGTTGACTATGGCCTAATCCACCCCTAACTTATGGTAAGCTCCGAGCCCCTCATGATGTAGATGTATAGTCTACTGATGATGATGATTCATCCAGTTTGTATGTAATTTTTAAATACATACCTCGTCAGGGAAATCTTTAGGATGTGCAGCTGTGAATCTTATTCTCATTTCAGGATCAATAGCCGACACCTTGTCTAATAGATCTGCAAATCTTAGACCACCTTTTTTACTCTTGTATACCGTCTTGAATCCTGAAACAATAAAGTAAATTTTTAAATACTAAAATTATTTTAAGTTCACTCGGTGTCATTTTTAACCTCAACTAATCTCAACTACCAAGAGACAATAATCAAAATAAAAAACAAACTTCACATAGCTGTCTTACTAATATTATAAATGACAATGTTTAAACGTATGGATGTTTGTTAGGATGTATCTCCAGAAACGATCTTGATGATATTTGGCACAGATATATAACATAGCCTGGAATAACACATAGGCTACTTATTAAACATTTGTTATATTACGCGCGAACGGAGTCGAAGGCGACAGCTAGTTTCATATAGTTATTTTTTAATTTCACAATTTATCATGCACATACATTTACCACAAGAATTTCTCATATATCACTAGCTGTCGCTTCGACTCTGTCCGCACGGGATTAAAAAGTAAATAGTAGCTGATTTTTAGAGCTATTGAATAAACACATACATATAATTTCAAAAAAATTGTCAAGTTGTTTCAGAGGAGTATGGAAACTAACATTGTGACATGAGAATTTTATATACACGATTTAAAAAAAAAACTTTACCTTTAGCTAATTGTGTAGCAGAAGGCTCCGATTGTTCAGTCACATCTCTGTAACTATTGACATTCTGACCCAATAAAGTGACCTCTTTCACACCTCTTCCCGCCAAATGTCTAACCTCTTCTAACAGAGATGTAACAGGTCTTGACCTCTCCCGACCTCTTGTGAATGGCACTATGCAGTAAGTACACATGTTGTCACAGCCACGCATTATTGATCTGAACAAAACAATAGCCACCATCAGAGTGATTTGAGTGATTAAAAATCTACTCTTAAGCTGTTTACGTAACAATTAACAATATGTCACAGTAACATTTTAACGTAAAGTCAAAATATCATCCAATTTGTTTTATGTTTAACTAAAGAAATCTTCAAGTATTTATTATATCTCATCTGCTACCATCTCAGTGGCAAAATTGAATAATTTTAAATTAGTATACAGTCAAACCAAGATAAACCAAAGTCCATGGGACTGATATATTTTATCTTGCTTTTAAAGATTATTAGTTGGGTCCAGACAATGACTCTCTATTATAGAGGTTTCTCACTTATCGTGGTTCAACTGTATTCTGTAATTTGAGGTACTAATACCCATATCCTCTGCTCCTAGATACAAAAGGCAGACTATATCTTCACCAAAGCTTTAATATTACCAAATAAAACTCACACAAATGCTGACACATTATTCTGGTTTAAGCTGACTGGCATAACATCTGCGTAGGTTTCATCCAGTGATAACAACACATTGACAGCAGTCTGCCCGCTCTCTGTTAGTGCCAGTAACCTGGGCAAGTCTCGGTAACTGTCAGGTCCCGCAACTGTTAATAATTACATACAAGTTTTATTTCATGATTGCATACTATATTTGATGTTATTATAAACTTTTAAATAAAATTATGTCCAATAACAATGACACAAAATAACGTAATTCTTTTTGTGTTATAATGTCATTTAGGGCTTATTTACAATTATGAGTAGTTAGTGTAGTATTATCAAATAATATCTTAATATAACCAAAAATTCTTTTATAAATTTACCAACATCTACAGCTTTTTCCTTCTCAATTAACTTTTCTTTCAGTCGCTCCGCCATACATCCCAATATCCCAATTTTAACAGGCTTGTTTTTATTTTTTGAAATCGCACGTCGTCTTTTGAATCCTCGCAAATGATCCAAACGATGCCAAATCTTGCTCTCTGCACCTTCTCGGACTGCGCACGTCATAACCAAGAATATATCAGCTTCCTCCTCCAGTTCCGTCTTCTCGAATCCACTTTTCTTTAAAATAGACCATACAATTTCAGTATCATTTAGATTCATCTGGCAACCGTACACATCAAAGAAAACTTTTCTCGACTCCGTTTTATGATCATTTGATAAGTAAGGTATTTCTGGGGGATCTAAATTTATGGGTTCCTTAATTCCAGAAGAGGCAAGAATGAAATCTTTCAAATCAGGCCCTTTTTTTAACTTTTCTTTTAAGTCCAGTCGAGATTTGTTAGAGTTACATCTGCAGATGTAAGACGGATGAAGATATTGCTTTTTAAAACTTTTGGCCCATCGGAAAGAAAACATATTCTTAGATTAATTAATAAAAAGACGTAAATAGGTATAACTTAACCTAAAACCATTTCAAACGTCAAAATGTATTTTGAAACAGCTGAGCCGTCATTGTCAATACACAATTAAAATTAATAAAATTATCGGCAATATTTTTATAGTTCATAATTTTTTTTATTATGACATGAGTATTTCTTATTATAAATTAATAAAAATTAAATTGATGAAAAGTTGATTAATATTAAGCAGCACATGTGCCATGATGCCATCTGCTATCGTCTGTAGGCCTTCCTGATCTTTTTTTAAAATTAAAGATGGAGTTGACATTTCTTTGACGTTTACATTTTGGTTTTGGATAGACTTTTCAAGTTCTTTCCAATATCGTGTAATTTTTATTTGCCTCACAGTGAGAAATGTTTACTTAGAACAGTTTATTAATAAATAAAACGAGAACGGTTTATATCAAAAGAACAAAATGGGTGATCGCATCAACAAAGGTATTCGAATGTATTTCGTAAGGTCCCCTTTAATTTGTACTAAAGAGAAAAAGAACTTATTCACTATTCATTAGATGTTTTTACTAAAATGCATATATTTTATTTATCTTTGCCAGTGTTTTCGCATTGGCAGGGTCAACTCGATCTGCGCGTGATGATTCTAGACCGGGCAGGGAGAGGCGGCGGTCGAGGTCCCGGTCCCGATCTCCAAAGCGGAGTTCACCCCACACCAGACGATGGGATTCAAGGGAAGATTCAAGAAGCCGGGAATATAGAGGTAAGAGACGATAAAAGAGCGTTATCTTGTAATACAATAATAGTTTGTATTATTTCTAAATTTATATCAATCCAATATAAACTTCTTCCATATACCAAACTTATGTTAGCTTTAGTATTATTTGAGAGGCATTTGACCATGCCTACTAATCAATCCTTTTATCCTCTAATTATTTCTAGCATCAACAAAAATCTCAAGAAGTTGCACCTGTATGTTGAATTTCAGATAAAAAAAGTCCTGTAGACAAATGGGAAGAGTCTGATGAGGAAGTACCTGCACCACCACCTCCACCTCGCATTAGCAAGATCTCCATTGGCTTCACCAAACCTAAAGCTCCCATCAAAATGACTCTGGGCATGCCCTCCAAGGCTTCCGTAAATGCAAAACCTTCGGTTGCATCAGTGTTCAACGCTGATGATGAAGATGAGGAACCTGAAGAAATGCCAGCGGAGGCGCGCATGAGGATGAGAAATATTGGGAGGTAAATGTGACCTGCTTTAAAACCCTTCTTCGCACTATTTGCCTTGTAATGTCTTCAGTTGTCTGACACCCTCTGGTTTTTAATAGTGCCGTACTGTTGTGATTCTACTGTACTCAGCAATGCACTGAGTTGTTAAATAGCCACTATAGGTTAACTTCACCTTATTGTACACTGCTTAATTTACCTCACGGTAATATTCATTTTCATATTATATATAACTTACATTGTTAAAACTTTTAACATAGTTAATATTTCTGTATACAGGGAAACACCAACATCGGCTGGTCCCAACTCCTTCGGCAAAACAAAGCAAGGTTTCTGTGATGCTAAGAAGGTGTTTGAAAAGAATCTGAAACATGCTTTAGAATCTGTGGACAAACCGACAATGGCCAAGCTACCACAGACTATATACAAAATCAAAGGACCATGATAATATATTCAATGTTTTGTAGATTTTGGCCTCTTGTCTTGTAATATTTTATCTATAGTTAATGTATAACATTAAAAAAAATGTAAAATAGAATTTATGCAATTATCTTTATACTTTTAACATTGAATATGGCAAATATTGATTGGGTAATATCAAATTTTATTTTAGTCCATTTTAAAGGAGACCAATAAGATGTTTAAACTTTTTTTTATTAATTAATTGAAAATATTTCAATGCAAAAGCTTGTCTTGTCTATGTCTTGATGCTTAGTTACTTAGTATGGTAATATTGAGAACTTTTTTTGCATTCTTTTCACAGAATTATTTACTCTTACGTGCCATTTAACTGATTTCAATGTATTCTAATGCAATTTGAAATTTACATTTTTTTTTCTTATCTACATATACTTATATATTTTCGAGAAAAAAAAATTGTAAAGTCCGTGAAACGACCTTTGTTCTGATTAATATTTTAACATACTGATGCACTTTATAAATGCAAGTAGTAGAAATTAAGGTAAAAATTATGATAGCTCATTACTTGTGTGTTTAGGTTGTTTTTCACTCAAAACTGTATGGAACCTATTTCTTTCAATACCCAATTAAAATATATTAATTCCGAAACATGTTAACTACAGTGTTGAATACTTGAGTCTCTTAAATTTTCTTCTAGGAACCTTAGATTATGTATTAAAAAACTAAATATATTTTTACGAGATATGTATTAATTGGCAATTTCTTTTAATTTGTAAGCAGGGAAATGTTAATAAGTAACCTAATCCTTGTCTTATCTAATTGTAATATGCTAGAGTATACTTAATAAAAATGTGTTACAATGTTGTCGTTTCATTTAAAAATTTTAGAATTTTCCATATATCAAGTGGGACAAATTTAAAATTTACCAATAACAATGGGCTAGCACGAATCTTCGTGATAATCGTCTTCATATTGTCAATTATATCAAAATTAGTACCAGGCTTTTGGTATACTTTACACCTGCTACATAAAAAACTTAACTTACACAGAAGGGCTAGACAAAGTGCATTCGCTCCAAAGCGATTCCATAACGAACTTTATAAATTAACAAACAATTTTGACGTCATGTGATTGTCACACATCAGTTTCATACATTTTTGAAATATTTTATGGAATCGCATCGGAGCGAATACTCTTTGTCTAGTCCCGCAGGTGATTTTCTGGTTCAGTTTTGTTTTCTAATATATCTGTGTTATGAATGACTATAATTTATGTCATTATTCGGCATTGTCATCTAGATTATTCATTGCATTGATACTCAAAAATATAACTATATACCTTGAAGTAACAAAATAAAAATCCATTTTAAGTTTTTATATTTTTATTAATTAAAGTAAATCACTTTCTCTGCACATTCTGCGGGCGCTGCATATCCCTAGGGAAGGTGCTCTTGGGCGGTGTACGGATGCGCCTGTCCTTCTTGGACCTGTTACGTACCACTTTACTGTGGATAGCGCATGACACGCAGTAGTGCAGCTTGGCGTACAGCTTGGGGAGCTGGAATGCTGAAGACAGATAAAAATTAACTATATTGTATCAATCTATTTATCTCGGTGATTTGAAACAATATACAAGTCATTGCACAAAACACAATTTTAAGTATAACAATGCACAAGGTATAAAATTTTTGAAAAGACGCATAAGTATTTCCAAAATCTGTGTCATTGGTGACATCTGTAATTAGTACTTGGATCATAGCACTAATTATTGCATTATTAGTGGGATATTTTATATATGACATTGATCAATAGGGGATAAAGTGTGATTATAAGAAGAATTGTAGCATTTTATATTTCCAATTGTGCATTTCCTTATCAATCTTTATTGTAGCTTAACATATAGCAGTTTTAAATAGATGTGGATTGATTATATAGTGGCAAAGCTGATTACAGGCTTCATAACACTCCTACTGTCTATATATTGCTATTTCTACAAGAGGAAGTTTCAACAGTGAGAATCTAAGGTTAGAAAAGCTTGTTATGGATAACCTTTATCACTTGCTTCTGACAGGTACATCACAGTGATCACTGATTTTTAATACAAAACTAAAAAAAACTTGTGTATTGTTTTACTTACAAGTATAAACTGAAGCTTCATTGATATCTCTGACGGCAGCCGCCTCAACAATGTTCCTGATCACGAATTTCTTGATGGCTTTGTCTTTAGGCACGCATCGCGCGCAGTTTGTGCACCTTACGGCCTTAACGTGGCCACGGCCGTGCTTGGCGCGTCCTCCATTGCGGCGTTTGCGAGTCTGTAACCAGAATTACACTTTGAGGCCACATGTTCAAGCCGTGCCGCCATGACCAACTCAGACCTCTCTGTTGTCTGATACCATAATAAGTTTACAGGCTATTATAGGAACACTTTGTTTGTTATTGTAATAATTTAAATTCACTTTATATTCATTTAATACTTTATTTTTAAGAAAATATTACGCACCATATTTCTAACCTCCTTTACTGTAAACGAAGAACGACGGAAAAGAAACTATTACCATAGACAACAGTGAATGTAAAGGTGAATGATAGTTGATTTCCGATTTCATACTCTGTCCTCGACAGCACAGAAAAATATTGAAGACACGGATCATAAAACAATTTCATTACGATCCACTAACCCGATGAGTATTTTCATATTTTTTAAAAGTCAAGTAAACATAGAAATTTTGCATGATTTTTTACTATACAAGAATTTTAAAACCAACAACAAAAAACAAAACCTTGTCTATGTCTACAACGTCATTCACTCATTTCATTTCTGTATCTGTTTGACATTTTAGGACAACATTAAAATTTTTGCTATCTGTGCTCTGTGCAAAAAAGTTCTTATTCTTTCTTACATTTCATACATTCAGTTCAATCGTTGTTTGTGTAATATTATTTTTTTGTTTAATATAATTGTTTAAAGTTCTTTTTAAATTTCCTTTGTGTTCCATCGATTATAAAGTTTGATGTTACCACTTAACAACGAACAAACACATGTTTACGTCGTCATCAAGTGATTGTTCAAGAATTGTGCCTATATATTTTATCATAATTTAAGTGGTATACATTTCTCGGAATTACAATGTTGCGTAGATAGATTCGGTTGTGTACCGCGTGTGAAATGTCACAACATGGATACCCGGAGAGACTGTCTAATAGATCGAAAGGTTTCCAAGAGGATGGTCCAAGTCAGCCCACTATGGAGGTATTGGTTGAGACCCTTACAGGAACGGCTTTCGAAATGACAGTGTCACCTTCTGACACTATATTTGCTATAAAATCGAAGATATTTCGAGTGGAAGGTAAGATCAGCATCTGTTACACAACTCTTTTATTTCTTTACCTCTTTTAGTTAGAATGTGTCATTTAACATTGAACTTTGGATGACATCGATTCGTTTGACCAAATTCTTAATTGAACCCTGTTAATTGGTGACTATTGGCCAAATACAACTGATCTATAGATAATAACATGTGAGTCATATGCATAATAAATCTGTCCTACAAAATGTCAAACATGTGATAATAATTTTACACATCACTTATTGGATTAATATTTTAGTTCGCAAAAGTTGATTTTTCTAACGCTTTCTACTTTCTTCTTCTATTAGACATGTTTACTTTATACCATGAATATGGACAAATTACAATTATTTTAAATATTTGATATTCCTAATTGAAAAACACATCAAAATTCAGTAAATCTCCACAACTGACACACCTGTAAATCTGTATAAAACTGTCCCTCTCACCTCCTCAAGAAAAGAGACAACATATTATAAGGGTGTTCCAGTACAAACTAACAACAACAAACACATACATATATATGTATATTGCTTCTTCTACATTCAAATGTCTATGCATACTTACACATTATTTACTGGGTGCTTTTACTATATTAATATTAATTAATTTACATAATACTGCCCTCAGGGTATAAAGGTTGTAAAAATTCATTTTATGTAACATGGGCATGATCATTCAGTTTTTCTAAGGTATCTGACAGGATTAATATCTCCATCCAATTACTGTTCACATTCTCAACATCTTTAATATAAGGTAACAAACAAAATATAAAAATTGTGTTCAAAATGATTACTATAAGCTCCCATTGATTAGTCAATGGGAGCTTATAGTAATCATCATAATCATATAATAATCAATCAACTGACAAATCAAGGTTCTGTGTTTAGACACAGAACCTTGATTTGTCAGTTTAAGGAACTGCAATATTTTTATCTCTTACATCCTTTTGTGGGTCTTGGCTTGGTCTACAACTTTCCACCTAAGTCTATCTTGATATGCCAATTTTATGCATCTAGAGGTTTGTCTATATGCCAAATTTCTAACTTATGGAGGTTTTTCATCAGAATCGGAAAATGACTCTTGTTTCTCCCTTTTCCAATACATACATATCCAGGTTCAACTGTATATAACAAAAAGAGATATGATTTTACACATGTTATGGAACTTGTTTTGGATTTTATAAATTTGAGTTTCTGTTACTTATTCCTTATATTTTGTTATGTTACATCTCTCAGTGATTCATTGTTAAATATGTAAATATCTACTAATGTTTGAAATGATTAAGAATGTTTGAACAATATTATAATGATTTATTTGATTGTCTTCAAGGATATTAAACAAATGAATGAAAATAAAATATCACATATATGTTTAGCTTGAACTAGTTAAAAATATACCTATTTTTGGACAAATATATGGGTTTTTGATACATATGAATGTGTCCTACTACTATGATAATATCTTCAATTAAAAAAAACTAAACATTGAATAAAAATGTACAACATTAGAAATAGCTTTTCAAGGTCTTGTCAAGGCTATGGCCTATAAAGACCTTGCAAACCAAGTATCCTGGATTTATGGAGTCAACATTTTTAGGTCATTTCTTCTATTGCATGTAAAAATGATGCAATTTCTAATTACGTCAATATATGTTTTTGTTTTTTTTATATAATATGGCAGTTGTTTTCTCCTGGCCTTGTTCCAACCTTGTGATTCATTGTCATACTGTTACAGCACTTGTGTTTATTTTACTATGCCAACTATTGCCTATTTCCTGCTTTACTATATTTGTCTTTTATATGTTTTAAGAATGATAATAATGTTATTATGTTTATTGGAAAACAAGGTATACAAAACATATAGTAATATTTATTTAAATAAGTGTGTTTATGATAAACTAGCTGTCGCCCGCAACTCTGTCTGCACAGAATTGACAAAAATATTATTACTAGCTTATATTTTCTTCCAGACTATGTTCTACCAAATTTCACCGAGTTTCATTCAACTGTTCTGGAGACACCTTCATCTATCAATGGTAATCAGTATCACATATAAATCTACATTAATATATATTATATATCTATTCTAGGCATCCCAGTATCCCAGCAGCACTTGGTGTACAACCTACGTGAGTTGGCTGATGGTGCGTCATTACGTGACCATGGTGTGGCGGCGGGTGCACGTCTTCGCCTCGTGCTGGCGCTCCGCGGCGGACCAGTCACTACGCGTAGGCCTCCGCCACCCGAGATACCTACAGTGGACAGGTACCGCAAGGATTTATTTATCCTAAATTCTATAATTTTAAAAAGCATTCAGAATACAATTCCACTTTTGGTTTGAAGTTCTCAATTAATTTTTTTTGAACTGATCAATACTTACATGTTGCAACAATAATGCAATAATTTAAGTTTTATTTCCTTGACTCCTATTTTAATCTATGGAATATTTATGGTTGTATTCTGTATTGCCTAGATTTAACTCACAAATAGAGAATGTAAGCCTATAAAATAATAATAGCTTTGGACGTACAATACTTGCCAAGATTAACTAATTTAATCAATCTTTTATAATTTATTTAATTGTAATTTTGTATTTCTGTATAGAGATGACATAGAGTGGAGCAGTGAGGGTGGCAGTGGTGGGGGGGAGTGTAAGGTGGCAGTGCTAGTGTTCCGTGATGGCGAGCGAGTCAACATGGTACGCATGCGCGAGAATAGAGATGGCACCTTCTCGCCCCTGGACCATGCTAAATGTAAGAAGACATACTTGCTGACATTATAGTACTCTGATGACAAACATATAAACTTCACACTAAAACCTGCCTCATACATGACAATAATATCCAAGTAATTGTACGTATATATAAATATAAAAAAAAACAATTGAAAATCGAAACATTTTATTTTTTAATTTTTGAATGATTTTTTTTCTACTTAATTTGATTTTACCTTACTTGGATGTAAATCAGGGCAATTGCACGACCAATCAATTTAACGATGGCATTAAAAACTAATGTTTTACTTAACATTTTAACATATTTTATATGTTGATTACATTGATTCTCGCATTCTTTTAATTTATCACGATTAAATCTGTAAAATTTAAAGTATAACAATCCTAGCACTTAATCTATATCTGTAAATAGATAACTCTATCTCTGTCTAACACACAGCAATTGTTTGTATACAGATTCGTCGTCCCTGTCGCACCTGGTGGAGCACGAGGACGACGAGTGCGCGAGTGTTGGTGCGGGGGGTGTGGCGGGGGCGGGTGCGGGGGCGGAGGGCGCGCTGCCTGAGAACGCGGTGACGATGGGCAAGATGCTGGACCTGCGCCGCCGCATGGAGTCCCTCTCCCTGCACAGGAGGCGCAACCCGCACAGATCAGGTCAGTTATGACGTCATACATAGTTTTTTTTTTAAATTTCTCTTAGTAATAAGTCATATGCAGTTTTTTTTGTAGTGTCTTGTCTACAGAGTGCTCTGGTATAAATTGCTAGTAGTGTTTCTCATAATTAAAACTTAACATCGTGTTTTATATGCTACTAGCTTTTGCCCGCGACTGCGTCTGCATAGGATTAAAAATACTTAGTAGACTATGTTCTACAGATATGCCCAATTTCACTGAGATTCTTGCAGCCATTCTTGAGAAACCCATTTTGCATTTATAACCAAACACCCAAACATTTGCATTTATAATATTAGTTTACGACTTGATGCAGGTGACCAAGTGGATATACAAAAGACAAGAAGCGAGGAGAGTCTGTCTGTGGCGAGCCTACTGGAGGACACGTCCTGCGAGGCGTACCTCAGGTGTAGCGGCTACGAGTGCTACAAGCGCTACGAGTGCGAGTGCGCCTACGCGGACCGCTACACGCTGCTGCCGCCCATCGGCGCGCGCGCACACTCCAACCACTCCCTCGCTGACACGCTGCCCGACACTGACAGGTCTATCTTCTTCTGTCTTCTACATCTGTGCCAAATTTCATCAAAATCCGTTTTCTAACAAACTTCCATCTAGCTCGACATTCCTATTTAAAATATTAGTAAGATTGCTACGTACACTACACGCTAGAAACACACACAAATAGGAAAATTCAATAAAAAATAAAATATTTGCTAACACTGACTTATCAAGTACTATTTTTTTTTTAATTATCTTAACTAAAATTTTATTGACGCAGAAATTAAGTACTTCGACACTCATTTTAAAATATTCACTCTTTTTATCACTACGGAGACAATAATACGTATCACAGCAGTGGAAAGCTACAATTATATTTCTATGTACACTCAGATTCAAACTGCCCGACACTCTGGCGGGCTCGATACTGGTGAAGGGTCGCGAGGCGGAGGAGGAGGCAGCCATACTGGAGGAGGGCGCGGAGGGCGACGACTGCCGCCGTGACTCACACTACACGCCCACACTCGCGCCCATACCCGCGCCTAAATACGGTAACCTAGTCTACAATTAAGTATAAAATTTGACAGATGACAGCTCTCTTGACACTAGCGCCACCTACTTAAAGCTTTCAGTTTTGACCTTGATATAGTAAATCTAACGTCTTTTATATGTCTTGTTCTTCAATCTTGTAAAAAAATGTGTGTACGTGTATAGGTGCGCTAGTGGGCGGTGAGGTGCGCGGCTGGAGGCGGGGCTTCGGGTCGAGCTCGCAGCTGGCGGGCGGGGCGGCGGGCGCGGCGGACGTCTGCGCAGGACTCCGCCCCCCGAGACCTCACCGCGCACCACCGCTCTCCGCCTCCACATCCGACCTCGAGACACTCACAAGGAATAGGTGAGGAATATCAAAAATATGATTATTATTTCATGTTTGCTGTCTTCTACGTATGGACTACGCACGTATATGAATACAAAAAAAGCTTTTTTTCATCTTAAGTAAATAGTTAAATAAATATAAACATGTTAAAAGGCTGATTGAGTGCACTTGAAAAGTATTTAGAGCCCGGCATACTATGATATATTAAAAAAATCTTAACTGTTAATCTATTACAGAATATTGCCAGCTCTGAGCCGGCACCGCAACCGCGAACATCTGCATCTGAGCGACGACCGCCTGGAACTGTCGCCGCACGGCCCGCCGCAACCGCAATCCCAGCCGCAACC